AATGTGGTGCTTCCCACACATTAGGGTGCTCACTGACTCAGCTGTTTCCCCAGAAACAGCCACCGATTTCACCCAAGAACAATAACATCTTTGAATTGCTCGACAAAAAAAATTGCACTGTGACTGCTTATTCACAGGGCTGGAAATGGGTTAGTGATATGTGCACGGAATTACAACCGCTTTTCACCGAGGAAGATTTTCTCACAGCTGAGAGGCGAGTTGAATGGGCCGAAAGCCAACGCGAGCGTCCCATGGTTTCCCCAACAGGCATTCATTGTCCACTGCTCCATTTGCCATTTATGTCCCTACTTTTGAGGCAAAGGGGTTTGCAGGAGACTAGAATCGGATATGTAACAACATCGAATGGAGAAAACCCAAATGATAGATTCATGAGTTGGAACACATGCTACATGCTTGTCTTTTGTGTTCACAAGTGTGCCAGTCTTTTGTGCAACTGCCCATATGCTCATAAATGTGAGCTGAGGAGCTAAGTAAAGGAGAAAGAGAGAAAGCACAAAAGAAAAGCTAAAATAGACGGTGGAATACAATGACAGAGAAAGTTGACACAATAACCACAGGGAAACAAAGAGTTTGGGGGAGAAAGAGGAAGAAGAAAGACAAAAGAATCAGGTAAAATTTGCCTCTTTCCCCAATGGACACAGCCTGTCTGTTTGTGAGGACACAAAGTCTCATTTAGATCTTACAAAAAAGCAGAAGTAGTGAGGAGAAAGGAGGAAAAATAAAGTCTTTTATAACCTTTGAGTATATTTGTTGTGCATATTACCTGAAACCAGGGATGATGCCTTAGCACGAGACATAAAATAGGTTACGACTTAGCTTTCAATAGAAACTAACGCACCTGAAGCCATTTTTTACAGAGCATTTCATCATCAGAAGAGACGTTTTCTGAGGATCGTTTTAAATACGCTCCATTACACAACTCTATAGTGTGTTTTATGCACAAAATGGAAGTTATACAAGTAAAAATAAACACCAGAAGGGCTGTGTTAACACAATAAAGGGTACTCTTTGTGACCTAACTGCTTGAAACAACCTTAATTCTTGTTACAAGAAAGATCAACTCTATAGCAACAGTTCTACAGTTTCAAGATATTTACATAATTTGTACCCTTCTACCATCGGCCAAAACATTATGAACTATTACATAAGACATAGTTCTTCAGTGGTTTCAAACTATAAACCATTATTTGGCACAAACAGAAGTTAATGGCTATAAATACTTGATAACACAGGGATTTTGAATATTTTGACAAAAAAATGGCACAGATAAGCGAAAACTAAATTGCCATATTCTTTATTGTAATAGATACTGAGCATTGCAAAGACATTTTAAGAACACAATGATAATAACCTATACAAAAATCGCCTTGTTTTTTTAAGGAGTCATTTTGTACAATTCAAAAAAGAACCATGAGTTTATAACTTTGATTAGATGCTCTGTGTTCTGGTGAAACAAATTTAAAATGTCTTGTTTGGGTTCATTTTATGAGTTTATTTTATCTATTTTTGTTGTTATTTTACCAACACTTGAAGATTGTTCATCTTTTTTCACATTTAGTCAGTCTCCCTAAAGCAATCATTCAGATCTTCTGAAGTGGGGTTCCGTGGAAAGGTTATGAACAATTAATAAATCACCTGTTGTGCATAGCTCTTTGAACTGCCTCAGGTTAGAGAAAAATAAATTAGTTTTGACTGGACTGACAAGCTGAGAGATAGCTCGAGTAGGGCCAAGACCAAAGAGGATAGATGTTGTTTTAAGACAATTTAAAGGCTCAAAGACTCAATCAATCAATAAATAAATCAATAAATAAAGATAAAATAGTATTTTATCAACCTTTATATTATCATCACTTCCACGTTAAAATGGTATTCTGACAGAACAGTCATAAATTTCCTGGAAGTGCCATAGGTTGCAACAAAAGTACTATGACTATTGTTTGTTTCCGTCACTGCCTTTGTAAACTGTCATTCAATTACATGTAAATAACTGTAAATAAATATCGGGTTTTGCATGAACTTCTAGGAAAAAAAACCTATTAAGTTGTTAGAACGATGGCAGCATGCACTTTGCTCTTGATCCCTTTTTAAACAAACCGTTCAAAGTGTTATCTATAACAGGTAAGATATGAATACTCCATAACTTCGGCACACAACCCCACTTCAAAAGAGCTTAACTACTACATTAACATTTAAATTAAACGGAGAAACATGGAATTCCAAATTAATGACAAAAAAAGTAGTCTCCTGTTGACTTTAAACTCGAGGAGCTTCACATATTCGTTTGGTAGTTTTGAAGTTTCACCTCCTGACTCTGATTTACACAAAAAAATGCATGAAATAAACCCACTGCCTGTGGTGTCAGCCTGGAGACTTGCCAGAAACATAAGCCTACAGAGAAAATTGCTTTTATATTTGAAAGCTTTTATTAACAAAGAACTGCTTCACTAAGTATGCTTTAGCACGTGAGGGCTCTGGCCTTTTATGGTGTACAGCACAAACAGATGCTTCCTGATGTTCGCACAAGGGAGCCGCTCGCTTTGGCAGCTCTCAGCTGTTTGGCAGCTCTTTGGCAAGTGATATAATTGACTCTGGAGCAGGAGATTATTTTGCAGGAGGAGTTTAAGACTGCCTGTGAGCATAAAGAGCTAGCTAAGCTGAAAATATTTAGCCCCGAAAGATGAAGAATCTGTCACTTGATCGCAGTGCGTTGGTGCAATCGATACCACTGATACAACCAACTGATAAGCAAGAGGAATAGTATGTAGTGAAGTGAAACAGGAAATGTGGAAAATTGAAGGTTTAGGTTTTCATATGAAAGGGATAAGCAGGTCATTAGGGAAATGATGTTCTGTCAAATAGTTAACAATAGTTAGTACATTATCAGCCATAATATCAATACAGAGCAAAGTATGGAGGAAAACAGCARAAGTCTTTATCCAGGCTAGGCTAATGGCTAGCCAAAGATGTCGATTTTCTAAAGAGTGTAAAACAGCCATTTCTCAAAAAACAAAATGCCATATGAAAGTAGAGTTCATCAGCAAATACTAAACCTCTCTAATTTTGCATTGCATCATTTCTATTTTTAGTCTGTTTTCTCAACCAAACAATATTGCAACACAAATTGTGGGTTTTGAGCATCGATTCCCACATAGCAAACAGTTGTGGGCCAGATCTTGTGTCAAGCTGGCACTGCTGGCTGACTGCTGCCATGGCAAGTGCTTTGTCACACAGATGTGGGCCAGGTCTGGCAACGATGGCTCTGTTTTTTAAGATGGCATGCCATAACTGGTGGCCCAGTTTGGTTTATGTTGTGTTGGGCCATGCATGGACCWCCTCTCACACCTGGACCAACAAAGGGTCATCATTGCTTGCAGTATTTGGGCCAAGTGTTATTGCTTTGTGTGGGCCAGAACTGGGCCAAGCTAATGTTGCTRTGTAGCTTATGTATTTGCCAAATGTTTTTAAAATGCAAATGTTGCAGTCCATTGGAGGTTGAGTAAACTTTTGGACTAACAAGGCATTAATGTTGTGTTCCTTCAAACCAATGTGTCGTTTTAGAGAAAATCTTGTTTTGTAAGCCAGAAAGACGAGCAAAAAGGGACACTTAGGTTAGACTTTCTCACTATTCTCCACACTCTGTGCTCCATGACTGATGTTACAGCTCATAAAGCACCAAATTTTGATGACTAGTTGACAAAACATTTCTTGAAAATTGACCAGACTGTAACTTCTAACATTTATTTGTGTGTTAATGAAGAGGTATTTTTAATTCACTCCCATGCTAAATCAATGTATATAAAGCAAAGGTAAAAATGCAACTTGTGAGTCAAAGACTAGTCATTTCAGCTCAGTCATATTCACCATCACTGCACTCCCATCATGCCCCACCCACACAACTCAAAGAAATTCTGCTGGGTGTTGAGAACACGTTCCTTGAAGAATTACCAATCCCGAAGCCGTCTTCCTTTGCACAATACAAAATATGCAAAATTCACAGCTCCCCGGCTTTATACCCCCTATCTCCCTCAAGCTTTTCCCTTACTTAGCCCTCTCCATCTGCTGTTTCTCTTCTTGCAGCTCCCACTCCTGATTCTCCTGCTTTGTTATGCTCCGCGCATCCGAGTCCTTCATTCGCCATCCTCTTTAACTTTGCTGTTTTTCAAAGGGCTTCTCTTCCTTTTCTACCATTTCTATTCAAATTCTGCTTGTCCTCTGATACCTTATTCTCTTCCCTGTATCCATCTTACTTTCCCTGTGAGCCGCTCCCACACCCCACACCACCACCCCACACCCCTATATCTCCCCGCAGTGTAAAGCAGTACCTGCGACACTCGGCTAAATAGGATATGTGGCCTTGCTATATCTGACTCCTCTAGACCAGAGGTGGGAGCTAACCTTTCTCCCACCTCAACACCTTACAAGCTACTGCTGTTTGTTTTTCGTAGCTTAAATATGATGTCCTTGATCACATTTGCAGAGCTTTTAAATCTGGCAGACAAAACAAAACAAAATATAATCTGTGAGATGGGGGCCTTGTTTTCAGTGGTACTTTAACCGCTGTGAAGTAAAGGGAAAAAAAAGGAAGGAAACTCCTCTGGAGGTAAGATTCATATCGGATTAATGCACAAGTGAAAGATAAAGATGAAAGGGGTGAAAGTCTGAGAATATCCCCTGATAGCTTGGGCTAATGAATACGATTAATATTAAGCTACTGGAGTATCCACTTTCCTTGTAGATAAAAATGGAAATATATAAATATGTTCCCTGAGAAGGAGCTACAACCAGGTCAGTCAGAAAATAAAATGTCTTTATCCAAGCATAAAAATGAACAGGCAATAGTTGATTACTGCTGTGAAACACCRTTCTCACAGCAATAAAGGCCCAAGAGCTCTTCTGATACACTTATCACCAGTTCTGTATGTAACCTCATACAACTGTGCTCACTCATACGAGAACATTAACCCAAAAAGTGAACTTACGTGTTCTGAAGCGGTGGTGTGGGCGTGTGGCTGGGCCCTTTCCTGGGCGCCCAGGATTCCAGCGTGAAGTGGGCTTCATCGGTGCAGCCGGCTGCGAGGCGGTTGGCTGCACCTTGGGAGTGCTCTTTGCAGTGGCTGTGCTTGTGGTGGACGCCGTGGTGCTGATGGTGGGGGAAGTCTGTCCTGGCTTGGGGTTGGCAGCTCCGTTACGTCCAGTGGCGGCGCTGCTTCCTTTTCTGACGGTGCTGCGAGGGGTGACCTCCTTAACGCTGGGCGGTGGAGTGAGGCGGGTGGCGCGTGTGGCGGAGGTGGTAACCGCAGTCCCGCCAACGCGAGTGCCGACCCGATTGTGCAGGTGCGGGGCGCGATTGCCGTCTCCACTGGCATTGCTGCCGTTTGCCGAATGATTCGCTGGTGGACCCGATCGAGTTCTTGGCGCCGGAGCCGTGCCGTCCGCTGCTAGCGGCGTGGTTGTAGACACCATAACAGTTGTGGATGCAGCTAATGTGGTGGTGGCCGTGGAAATGTCAGGCCCCTTGGGCATGGCACTGGGTTTAGAGAGAAAAATGGGGTCCTGTCCAATGCTACCTTTGGGGTCCACCAGATCAGTGGGGACATAGTCTTGGACAGAGCCCACCACAATCCATTTCAGCAGCATGAGACTGAGTCCCAGTCCCACAAAGCCCATGACCAGGGGGACAGCACAGAGCCAGGTCTGCTGGCGAGGCCACACGGCACATGGGCCACAGCGTAAAGGCCCCGGGGCTCGAGGAGACGCCTGTTCCGCCCCTGGCTCCTCCAGCGTCATGGGTACTAGAGTGCTTGAACCAGAGCGCTCATTCATCTTGCCTTTTCTTTATTGTATATTTTGTAGAGGATTTAAGAGGTCAAACAGGTGGCCAGATGATGCAGGGACATGTACAAGGTAGGAGGTGGGGTACCGAAGTAGTGCCACTGTGCATCTTGAGTAAATACACCTAAAACCTAACCTACTCATGCATGTATGTTAAACCTACAAGCAGACACATCACTCTCTCACAGTCACTCTAATTAAAAGCTGTTACAGAACTCAAACGCATTCCCAAGCAACATAACCTACACTCCCTCTGGCGGACAAGAAACCAAGCGCACACACCCATGCACACACACACACACACRCGCGCGCACACACACACCCATACACACTCTGAAAGTCACTCACTCACATAAACACACGACAATATTCACACTTCCCATGAGCTTACAGGTTACAGACAGGTGAACAAGGCGCGCGGGGGGGGGGGGGGTTCTTTAACGAAGCGGTTAAAAATCCCAAGATGCCTCACTCCCTCGATGAAAAAGGCGTCGCAAAAAAAGAAAAGGGAGAGAGAAACAAGAACGCAGGAGGATATCGATCCGTGGCGWGGTGAGGTTCAGACTGGAGCTGTAAATCCATGTGCGCGTGCAACAACTCCGGCTTCTCCTTTTCTCAATCGGTGGGTCATCGGCCGCGTGAGGTCCTTAAAACACAAACCAAATACTGCTTCCCCGGCGCTGTCGGTCTCTTTGGGTGTCATATGAGTTCTGTTAAATGCACATYTATGTGTTGAGAGGAAGAAAAAAATGGCTTGCCTTTATCACTTGGCAGTATTTATTTTATTTATTAATTAAAAAAAATTTTTTTTAGAATGGGTCCAACTTTACCTCTTTTGGTCCCCCTACTCCTCCCTGCAGCGGGCAGTAATCCAACAGCCACACACCTGAAACAGAGCGGGTCTGATTGGGAGGGAAGAGGCTGTTCGGAAATCCAGCTGATTCCAGGTCCAGTTTCTGCGCAGCTGATGCTGATGATGCTGCTGCTGATGATGATGATGGTGACAGGCTCCTGAGCTGTCCGTCACTCTGATGATGGTGGGGTGGGGGGGGGCCCAAAACATGAAAAAATAAT